GCTACTCGAGGATCCCATCTTCAAGTACAGCGGCAGCGCAATTGGCCTCAACAGTAGCCAAGACTGAAAACAAATTCAAAGATGGCAACAGCAGCAGCAGCAGCAGCGGCGGCACATTTGGCCATGCCTTTTTGGCCATTTGCCAGCTACTTTTGGTGGCTGCCACCCAACAGCAGAAGAAGAACAAGCAGCAGCGGCAGCAAAAGAATAACAACATCACGTTGTATCCATCTACAACAACCTCGGCCAAGTTGGCTTTGGACTAAAGCTTATTTATGTGCGTTGGCTGCGAAATATGGCGCACAATTTTTGCTTTTTGCTTATTTACTGCAGTCTACAAAAAGAGCAGCCAAAAAGCTAATTGGGTGGGCGGCCCAAGTGCCGCCAGCAGCAGCAGCAGCAGCGACAACAACAACAACAGCAGCAACCGCAGAACAGCCAAAAGATGCAATATTTTCTGCATATTTAAGATAAAAATATTTCTTTATGCTAACAAGCTCTCGCTCTGACCCCCGCTCTCCCTCACGCTCTCCCTCGCTTTTTTCTTCTGTCTTTTATGTGATCAATTTTATTTCATTTGGGCCTTACAACAGTCCACAATATATAGAATATATATGACTTAACATGCGTTATGCCATTCTCAATTGTTGAGCTTTACTAAATGCTGTTATCTACATAATTATTATTTATTTCTTGAGGAATAATCGATAAATATCGAAGCTCTAAGCATATTTTGTTGATATGAGGAATTAAGAATTTGGAATTATATAGAACTGATATTATATATACATATAACTTTTATAGATGATCAACAAATATTGATTTATGCTTTTAATGCTGTAATCGATAAATATCGAAAGGGTAAGTCAAGATAATAAGAAGAAAGTAAAGAGTAAAATAATGACAGAAATTTTGAGTAATTTTAGATTATCTTAGATAAAGAATTAGTTTATTTTTTCGTCAAAGGGCGATATCGATTTACATCGATTGATATTTATGTATATCTTTCATTTTGTGTAAACTCAAAAGTTACTTAAGCTAGATCAGCTTAATATAGAAGTCTACCTAGTGAGTATTATCGATAATCAATAAATATCAACCATGAAATCATATTGCATAGCATTTAGATGATATTTCTGACTGATACTTTCTGCTGCCTCTGTCATGCTAGCCATTTGCATTGAACTTGTTACAACATCTGATCTCTTAGTTCAACTGCACTGGCATGATTTCGTCCGACAACCACCTGCAACTGCATTGCGCTACATGTTTACTTAGCCCAATTGAAGGCAGGCCAAATGGAGAGCGGAGCAAACAAAGCGAGAGGCGAAGATACTGAGGAAATCTCCACATTCCTGTCGCTCAACCTAACTGCCATAATAAAGATTGCAAATGCTTCTGATTTGTAGGAGGTTTGCTTTCTTATTTTCGTCTTATGCTTATCAAAAGCTCAGCAAAGAGCGCAGCCTGAAAAGGCAGAGTGTTGAGCCAAATGTTTGAACATTCAGCAGAGCGCAATGATAAAGGTAAAGTCAGTGAACTCTCTACATATACACACAGAAATTTATTGTTTACATGCTTATCAGTGAATTCTGTAGCTTCAACTGATAATTGCCAAAAATTTTAGCTAATTTGGCGTGGGAAAATCACTAAATTCTATGTGTATATATGGCAGTGTGTCTAGTCAGGGGAATGCCCCTAATGAATGTGAATAAACTGCCGCATTTACCATTAAATGAAAAGAATTTACTTTGATGTATTACCCTTAAGAGAGAGATTTTCGTACAGCTGTTGATCTGCTTATTAAGTACGTTCGGAGCGCATCTTCGCTTCCGAAATTAATTAAGGAATTGTCACATCAATCAGGCGCCCACTTGCCGACTGGCATTGTACTTGTTTCACAGGCATTTCGCTTGTTGCTGTTTTTGTTTTCAAATAAACAAATAAAATGCAGAAAATAGATTTACGAGTGTCGCGCAATTTATGACAGATGTAAAAATTGTCAGCGCTTTTTATGGCCCACGTTTTTGACGCTTGACTGAAGTCTGAAGAGCTGACTGACCAGCTGGCCATATCCATGGCCCTGACGGACTGCCCAATGACAGGCCGGAGACTGAGAGACTGAGCGAGACTGAGACAGAGGTAGAATGAGCTCATCACCCCCACACGCTGCTGCTCCTGCCATCCATTCTCAAGGCAACAAAGTTTAAAACACTTGCTTCTTGATAATGAGAAAAAGTTTTTTTTATATATTTCTCATTTCTTTTTTCTTTGTGTTGCATTCGAGACAAAAGTCTTGATGATGATTACAATGATCCTTGGGCTTGTAATGAGATATGGCCAAAGCACTTTGCTAAGCAGCATTATATTTATACACAGTCACCCACACACACACACACACGAGCGTGCATGCACATACGTGTTTCTTGCAGCTTTCTTTGTTACGTGCACAGGTCTGCCCCCCTCTCCCCTTTTCATCGTCTTTCTTTCTTTTCTGCGCAAGCCTTTGTTGCTATAAGTTCTTCACTGGAATAGCTACTTCTAAGAAGTACTTCAAATAATATTAATTAGCTTTAAATGTTTTCTTACAGGGCTAGAATAACATATTTATAATTAATTTACTTGACTTGGAAATTTCACTATTTCACCATGCGTATACGTTATATTTTGTTACATATGAGCAAAAACTTAGTTTTCTAGATATATTTAAAAACATAATTTAATTTATTTGAGAGGCATTTTTTTAGTATAACAAGAAAAATATATTAGTTAAGTTGTCAAAAGTTTTCTTTTCCAAAATTAAAATTAAATTTTAGTGCAGTTTTAATTTTCATTTATTTCCACTAAAATAAAACATATATAAAAAATAATTTTGCATCTTTACAAATTTTTTTTATTAAAAGTTTTTTGAGTATATTATAAAAAAAACTTAGAGCCGTCAAAAATTAAATGAGAAATCAAACAAATTTTAGCAATAGGAAAATTAAAATTTTCTTTTAGCTTTAAAGAACAAATTTTTTAAAACTATATTATTACTATGCAAAAAATTGATTTGCAAATTTAATAAACAATATTTTTGTAGTAAGATTGTTTATTCAAAGAAAATTAAAAAAAACCTTTTTAGTAAAATCCCATTCATTAAATAAAAAAGGGCAAATAAAACAGATTGTGGATAAGCTGCTACATTTTCTGCTGTTGCAAATTACAATAGAATAAACAATTCAAATTTTTGCCATTGACAAAGTATCCAACTCTGCGTATGCGTCGCGACGTATACGTAATTTATGCCTTGTTTGCCACGCAGAACTTAAAATTTAAATAAATGACACTGAAGACCATAAATTACGCGCCTTCTTAAGCAGCTCTAACAAAAGGTTCTTACCCTTCAACTGCCACGGGAAATGTATCCAAAATATTCCGCATTACAATAAAAAAGAGCAGAAGAAGAAGCAGAAGAAGAAACGCAGAAGCAGAAAAGTTTGATTTTTTTTTGTTCGTCTATGCAAAAGAATCCAAGAAGTTGTCACACGCTGCAGTTTAATGTGAAACTAATGCTGAAAACTGTCAGCAATTGGATATATATATATATATATATATTGTATATATATTTGTGTGCTTGTGTGTGTGTATCCAAGAGATGCCTTCCAAAGTAACCGAAAGCCGAAAGGTTGCACGAAAGTAGAAGATGAAAATTAAAAGAAATTTTTCCCTTGCAGCCGAAAATTTTCAATTGCAATTTTTTTTCAATTCGATTTGCAATTTGCAATTCTTTTGTTTATGTTTTTCTTTAACGCATTTGTGTTAGTAAAATTTGGATATTTCTTTTATTTATGCCAAATTTTGTGTTGTTGATCAATTTACATTTTGCACTTCACTTTGACACATTCAACATTTTGTTTGTTGATTATTTCCAATTGTGGTGTAAAATATTTGATTTTTATTAACATTTATTTTTCATTTAAAGTCTTTAAAAAATTCTAGCAAAAATGTTTGCTGAGTTATTTTTAGCGTCGGGCAATGAAACTACAAAAATTTTTTCACTCACATGTGGAAAATGCCGCTGCACGCACTTTTCATTTTATTTTCCGATATGTTGTTGTTGTCGGTGTTGTTGTTGCAGTTGTTGTTGTTTGTCACTTTCGAGTTTTTACCCTTTGCATTTGTGGGTATTTTTATAGAGAGAGAGCGAGCGAGAGAGAGCGAGTGAGTGCCCAAAGGAAGAACTCGACGCGTTGCGATAATATTTTTATTTTGATTTTTTTTTCTTGTATTTTGCTTGCTTTTATTTTGTATTTGTTATTTGTTATTTTCTGTTATTTTTATTTTTTGGTCTGTTTTATTTTTAGCGTTAAATTTTCTGCGGTCAGCGATTTAAAAATAACAACAGCAGCTCCGCATGGATTGCACTTTAGTTGGACATGGACTTTAAAGCTGATGCTGATGCTGATGCTGTTGATAATTTCTTGCTTGAAATTCTTGAGAAACTCGCGCCACAAATTTTGAATCGTAATAATAATTTTTTGATTTTGGAACTTGGAACTTGGTTCTGATTTAGCATGTGCTCTGCGTACTTTGTAGTTGTATTTGTATTTGTATAATTTTGTTTTTATTTTTGATCAGCGTTCACTTTTGTTGTTTCTTGTTTCAGTCTGAAATTGTGTTTCAGTTTTCAGTTACAGTTCAACCACATGCGATATCTTTGACGGCGGTTGACTTTTGTTACTTTTTGTTTTTTGTCCAATTCACCGCTCCGGCGTTCTGCTCACTTCGATGAACATCTTGTAACTATTTTCAAAAAGCGCACGAACGCAGCTGCAGAGCAACAATGACGCCGACGGCAGCGACGGCGACGACAACGACGACGCTGCGGAGCGCACAAAAATCAAACCAGCAGCAGCAGGCAGACAAACGAAACCGAAACCGAAACAGAGACCGAGACCGAGACCACCGCACAACAACAACAGCAATAACAGCGCCAACTCAAGAACACACAACAGCAGCAGAAGCAGCCAACAGCAGCAGCAGCAGTCGTCGTCGCAGTGCATATGTGTGTGTGTGTGTTCTGTGAGAGCGTCAGAGAGTGTAATTTAAAGTTAAAGAGCCAAAAGCAAAAGAGAGCGCACTGTTGCTGCTGCTGCTTGTGCTTTTGTAAACGCAGGCCACAAGAAAAAAACGAAGCGTAGCATCCGCGTGCTGCGCTGTTGGCTACTGAAGAACTGAAGCACTGGCCGGCTAGTCAGCCGAACCAGCCATGCCAGCCGAACCACAGCAACAGCAGCCGAAACCGAAGTCGAACGATATGTAATACGGTTCGTGAGCGACTGCGACGGCGACGGCGACGTCGAGACAGCTTCGTGTGCTGCCAAAGAGCGCCATGATGATTACTTAAGCAGTGACTAACTAAACCAGCGCTAACAGTGTGCGGAGCGCACGAGCCAAACGAAGCAGCGAAGTAAAGCCAGAGGCTAAGCCGCCGTCGTCGTCGTCACATAACAACTTATTGCATTGTATATTTAGCTGATTCGGCTGCTGTGTCTGTTAGATAGCGCACTGTTAACAGTTGCTCTGTTGCTTTGCCCTAACCTTATGTTATGACCATATGAAGCGCTCATGCATTTGATTAGCTACATCGATTTTAATGTCTCATTTAATTAGCTGGAATTGTCAGAGCTAATGGCCTGGCAGTTATAATTAGTTGCACTTTGTGACAACTTTATCACTAGGTTTGACGGCCGCAAGCGAATTTGCTCATTAAAGCCAGATGGGAGACGCGAGAGCGGCAACTATTGCAGCGGAGGCAGCAGCACAACAAAAAGCCAGCCGAAGCCAGTGACAGGCAACAATGGCAGATGAAGTACAGTAAGCGCTTATTAAATGCGCTGAATGCAAATAAAACTTTTAAGCTTAATAGAAAATGGCGACTGAGGACTATGGACGAGCATCTGGGAGCATCGAGAAACAATGGCCGGAAATTCGCGCTGCGGAAGCCAACAACAGCAACAACAACAGCAACAACGCCACTTGGGAGCTCGTCAGGCAGCCACAAAAAGCAGCTGTGTCCCGTCCTTGCCCCACTCAAAGGAATTCGCCTAGCGCGGCACAAAACAAAGCGAGCGTATAATGTTGCGCCATAGACCAGAATCGGGGGAGTGAGGGTGCAATAGTGAAAGGGCTGATTGGGTTGCCCTCCCTTTAACTGACTGCAAGTTTTACCCCAAAAAAGTTATGAAACATTCGAGCAGATTTTCATATTATTTTCTTTTTTTTTTGGCTAATATAAAAGTCGAGTGCATAAATCAAAAGCTCTGCATGTCCATCTACTTCACAAACACTTGCCGTCCCTTTCATGCAGTGTCACTTGGCATATTGATTAATGAGCCATGAGCAACTGCACATAGCTTGGCACTTAGCACGTGCTGGCCGGGTCCAAAGTCAGGTACAAGGACAACGGCAACAGCAAGAGCAACAGCGGCTACAAATGTTATTTATGGGCGCCTCAGAATGCAATTTGTTGTGGTCAACAAATCGCCATACAAATCGCGAACGAGAGATCATTAGAGAATCAGAGACAGCCAGAGGGGGAGCAAGAGGCAGAGAGTGAGGGAAGAGATGGGCGAGTGTTTTGCCCAAAAAAGAAGGACGGTAAGTAAGTTGATTAGTCACGTCCGAGGAATGCCGAAAATAAAAGATGCTCAGCACCCAAAAGGTGAGGTTCCATCCAAAAATCAAATGCGCTAAAAGCGGCCAAGAAATCAGCTTAAGCCAAATGGCGTTAATCCATGAATTATTGCCTAAAAGCATGCCAAAGCGCATTAAGTTTTTGACTCTTCGTTCTTACCCGAGCAGGTAAACAGACGAACTGATGGACAGACGAGCAAGTGGACAGACGAACGCAGAGACAGCCGCAGGACAACAGCGACAACAACAGCAACAACAACAACAGGTAGTTGTTGCTAGCTTTTATTGAAGCAAACGAACATTTGATACCCTTGCTAAGGGTTGGGAATTCATTAATTGTAGCATAATAAGCTCTAGATAAATTCCTTTGAGAACTAGTTAAATAAAACGCATGTTTTTATAAGACAGATTAAAGAGAGACAGAGAAAATGAATTGGGCAGGGTTACAGAGAGAAAGAGAGCGAGAGAGAGAGAGAGAGAGAATGAGATAGAGTGAGAGAGCTAAAGATAGCGAAAATAATGAGGGGGATGGAGCGCACGTAGAGAGAGAGCGGATTAGATAGAGAGAGATAGACAGATAGTAGAGTTAGGCACACGCCCACAGGCAGAGCAAGCGCGAGTTCGAAAGACCCATTCAAACAAAAGAGTGAGAGCCACATGCAAACTGTAGAGAGAGACAGACAGATAGCGATGCTGAAAGAAACGCTCAAAGACATTGACCAAATTAAGATGTCCTTGAGAGTCTAAAGTCTAAACTATAAATAGCAAGATTCCCAGTTTATAAGAGCACGTAGAACTGAATAGATTATCTTATCAATACATGAATTTCGTAGTCCAATATTTAGTGCCAGATCGCACTATTATTTCAATGAAACCTGCTGCTGTATGCCATCACTATATACATAATCTGCATATGCATATAATATATATACTAAAAAACAATTACTTAATCTCATAAGTGTCTGGGGTTTTTCATGAAATGGTCAGCACTGCAAAAAAATCAGCTTTTTGAAAAACCCCCTTCATAATATTGAAAATCCCATCAAATTAAATTATATATAAAGACAAAAAGAAAACATTTCTCAGCAATACACAGAAAGGTATTATAAATGGAAGTCGTTTTGGGCATGGCTCATCTATTGGCTGCCTTATCAGCCTGCCCCAAATCAATATACCCTTTGTTAGGGCAACAACAAGCCAGCCAAAATAGCAACAAGCAGCAACAACAATAAGTAAAGAAAACATTAGTAATGTCCATGAAAGTGCCAATGAATAACATGGAACATACTTTTGCTTTGCATTTGTATCTGTATCTCAACGAACCAAAACAAAAAAAGAACGTAAAAAACGCAAGCAAGCAAAACAAAATAAGCCCAATTTTGACCGCACCCAAGAGTCGAGAGAGATCCAGCTCTATAAGGCAGATATTTTTGCCTGTCAGTCTTCCACTCTCCGGCTGTGTGTGTGTCGCGAGCTGTTTTTTTTTTTTTTATGAGTATTGACATTATAATCAACGCCGTTTTCAATTTCAACAAACCTCCTCCCAACAACAACAAAAAAGGTGCATCCCAAAACAAAAGCTAAAAAAGTTCTGTTTGCTTTTTTGTTGTTCAATTTTTTTTATCTTTCTTCATTTTCATTTTTTTCGTTGTTCAGACTACTTTTCAGGGCAAAAAATATGTAAATTATGGCTGCAAAAAAACTACATGTGTGTGTGTGTGTGGCATGCGTCAGTCACCTGCGGTATTTCATTTTTGGCCGCTCGGTCTCGTTTTTATTGCTTCGATTGTGTCTCTGCGGCCCCGTTTTTCCATTCAATACGCTGCATAGTTTTTGAACTTGAGCTGCAGCTCCCCAAGGATTGTGGCGCCCGTTAAAACATATTACACGCTTAAGTTCGTTTACCCTTTGCAAGCGGCCAGCATATTGAACGCCGAGTTGTGTGTGGGGCGCTTGCTGTGTGCCTGTTGCAACTGCCACTTGTGGCATTTGCTTTGCTCAAGAGCATTATGTAAATTGAAATTTTCTATTTTCAAATTTTTAAAAATAAAAAAAAAAAATTTCTAAAATAGAAAAATATATGATTACAAAAATTGTTAAAAAAAATTTAAAAATATTTAAATACAATTTTATTTTATTTAGAGGCTGCAAAAAAATTTCAAAATAATTTATTTTTAAAAACTGAATTGTTTAAAATAATTTTTTTGCGTACTAATTAATTTTGTATAATTAATTCTACAATATTAAAATTTATATTTATTCTTATTATAATATATAATTATTTATGTATGATTCCTTGTATTTCTTGCTATGCATCAGTAAAATATGACGAGCATCTTGAGCTCGTATGTTATCACTTATTTCCATAGCATGTGATTTGATATATGATTTGATCTGTTACGTAATATACATTGAGAAAACAATATTTCGTCTTACTATATCTTTGAACAGTTTCCACCTATTGATAATTATACCTATCTAAGCCATAAGAAATTTTAGTCAGAAATTGATCAATTTCTTTCTTGATCATGTGTCAAGCTTTGGAGTTTTAGTACAAGGTACAATATTAGTACAAGAATTTCCGTACAAGAAGAGGCTTAGTTCAAGAGTTATGGTAGAAGAGTTTTAGTATAAGTAAAAGAGCATTATTATAAGAGTTTTTAGTACAAAAATGTTACCATGAAAGTTTTAGAAAATGAGCTTTAGTACAAGAATCTCAGCTAAAGAGTTATAGTGCAATAGTTTTAGTACAATACTTTAAGTACAATAGTTTTAGAACATGAGATGTAATACAGCAGTTTCAGTACTAGAGTTGAAGTACGAGAGTTCAAGTACACGTGTCTAAGAGTAAAAACTTTAATTTAACAGTCTCTGTAAGAGAATTTTAGAACAACACTTTTCATACAAAAGTTGATGGGGATTTAGTACATCCAATTTAGTACATTATTAGTTTTAGTACATAAGTTTTAGTATATAAGTTTTATTACGTCAGTTTCAGTATACCAGTTTTAGCACATCAGTTTTGGTACATCAGTTTTAGTACATCATTTTTGGGACATCATTTGTGGTACATCATTTTTGGTACAGCATTTTGGTACAGCATTTTGGTACAGCATTTTGGTACAGCATTTTGGTACAGCATTTTTGGTACATCATTTTTGGTACATCATTTTTGGTACATCATTTTTGGTACATCTTTTTTGGTACATCATTTTTGGTACATAATTTTTGGTACATCTTTTTTGGTACATCAGTTTTAGTACATCAGTTTTAGTACATCATTTTTGGTACATCATTTTTGGGACATCATTTTGGTACATCATTTTAGTACATCGTTTTTAGTACATCATTTTTAGTACATGCTTTTAGTATATAATTTTTAGTACATCATTTTAGTACAAAATTAAAGTACAAGAGTACAATTACCAAAGATGTAGTACAAATGTTTTAGTACAAGACCTTAAGTACACAACTTTTAGCACAAGAGTCTTGGTACAAGCGTCTTATTACCAAATTTGATCACGTTTTAGTACCACAATTTTAGTATAAGTAGAAGAGATGTTCCCAACGACTGAAAATATGAGTGAAAACCACTACGAACCACCGAGAGCTAAGCTTTTGACTAATGCAAGTTAATTTATCTATGCTCCCAGATATCTATTATAATATATGCAAGATGAATCTATGAAGAGTATTAAGAAGGAATATGTCTATCATGAACTGACTATAGGCACTCAGTAATAAGCCACATTTATGCATAGACTTCATGAAAATCATGAATCAATATTCAAATACCTTCGAACAATGTTATAGTCTCATTAGCTATTTCTGCTGTTCAAAGTTCAATACATAGTTAACAAAATTGACATTCTATGCATACGTTTTGCTTGTTATTGCACACGTTTGAAGAATTTCTTGAATTCATAATTCGACCAGTCTTCGGTTGCCTTAATTGAATACCTATGGCTATACAAAGAAAAAAACAAATCACAAGCCTCGTGCTTGAGTATCTTCTGTCTCTTCTGTTAGTGGAGCTGCTCGAATACGCTCAAATGCAGCTGTGCTGAAATGCAGAGAGTTGGATTACAGCAGCAATCGTATACAAATACGTAAGAGAATACAATTACCTGCAGATAGCCAGGTGTCGTGTGTGTGTGTGCGTGTGTGTGAGTGTTGCTGCTCTACACTCCACAGTCCACACTTAAACAACCCAACCCCAAGCCCAATCCAAACCCCTTTTCTGGCTTCTGACAACTCTCATCTGTCAGTGGCAACGCTCCAGTTTGATTCGGACTCGGATTCGGATTCCAAATGTGATTCTAAGCTTGAGCCAATGTGTGCATTAAATGTCAATAACCATAACTTAATTCATTTGGATTTGGTTTGTCTTTCACATGGCTGAACGTTCATCGCCCCACTATCGCACTCGAGCTGTTTGCATCGGCCACAAAGGTCAGCTCTCTCGCTATGTGTGTGTGTGTGTTTATGATTCACTCCCCCCTCCACTTGAGATAGAGGTATCGTTCGCTGGCTGCTCTCCAGGCACATTGAAATTGAATAAGCACACTGCAGTGGACTAAAATATTGACTCGACTGCAGTTTTGGGGTGAACCATAAATCACACTGACTGTCAGCACAACTGGGTTGGGGCATACATATATGAAAGGGGCCAACGGGCCCCCACTATCATAATATTCGACTGCAGCTATTTGATAACATTTTAGGCTAATTGCCGATTGCTAAAAGCTAAGGATTACAAAGCGATTGAACAAGTTCAGAACTAATTTGCGAGCAATTAAAATGCATTTTGTGCAATCTGTCTTCGAAGTTCGAATAAACTTTAAAGAAGCTGCGGAGAGATGATTTAGTTTAGTCAAATAATAGAAAGTTTAAGTATAATATATTTCAGGTTAAGCTGGCTGAACTTAAATATGGGTAACATCATTTTATTGAGCTGTATATGAAATAGAAAGTTTGCTTAATAGCACTCTTCTATGTGATTCTCATGCAATGTTCATAGCTGTATATGAAATAGAAAGTTTGCTTAATGGCGCTCTTCTATGTAATTCTCATATAATGCTCTTCTATGTGATTCTCATATAATGCTTGTTAGTTTTACGCTATTTCTCTCTATGTATCCATGTTTCTCTTTTCCTCTCGCTCCATTTGTCTCTCTCTCTCTCTTTTTTTCTCTCTTCCCTGCCTCTCTGTTTTTTATATCTCTATATTCTTTCTGATACTATAACCCACATCTCCCAAATTTATAAAATCTTTGTCTTAAGTCTGCAAGGTATTTCCGAGTCGAGCACTGCTTACTATTGCACTCGCACTCATATTAATATTAATTATATATTTCTCTCTCTCTCTCACTTTGTTGATAGATTAAGTCTAATAACTGGT